CGCAAGCATGTCAGATTTTAATGCTGGAACCCTTGCTTTGCACCACCACAGACAGGCCTCTAACAGTGGATATTTGTTAAGAGCCTTGTCAAAGCCCCTCTCAACATCTCCAGTCAACTATTACTCGGGTTATTGATAAGGCCTTCGCCGGATCTGCGTCTGCCTCGCTGCCGGCTTTGACGATTAACACTCGCATTGCGCATGACAATAGGCGTATTCCCGAGAGAAGACGAAAGCCCTGTGTTTAATTCAAGCCTGAGCATCGAATCCGCTCTGACTGACATTTACCGCTTCCGCACACGAGCTCTCACCCCTGGAACAATCATAGCCTCCTCTTAGCCTTTGTCTGAAAGAATCTTTCAACCCGAACCAGCCGGCCCTTCTGACCTCATCTCAGCCCCTAAGCAGTACACTTCTCCCAGTCATAGCTCACACCCTGCTGCAGGCCGTAGTAGACAGTCTTGCCCTCATACTCCAGCTGGTCGGAACTGACGGTTCCCTTGGCCCCCTCCTTCTTGGCCGACACCGTGAGCTCCGTGCGGAACTTGATGGTGCCCGTGCCGCACTTGGGGAGCGGCCACTGCACCAGCCCGGTCACGGGCGTGTTGTCGTTGTACGATCCGGAGGCGCGGGGGCCGGCGACGTTGAGGGTGTCGACGATTGTCTGTACACAACGTCATGATTAACAAAGCTCCCAAAAAGCAATGCCCACATGTCGCCACGTAAAGGAACGCTGTAGATACTGGGTAGTGTTTGGTTTCACTCACCTCCTTCCCATCGGTAAAATACGTAAACTTGAGCTTGGCCTCGACCCCCTCCTCCAGATCATACCGCGCAATCACCTGGGTGCCGTTCTTGTGCAGCTTGAGGCGGTACCCCGGCACGGCCGGCGCGACGCCGTCCTTGTCCAGCTCGGTGTAGGCCAGCGTCGTCTCGCACCAGACCGAGGCCTCGGGCGTGCCCGGCGCGACGCTGGCGCGCAGGTGCGGGTACGCAAAGAACCAGTAGTAGATCTCGGACCCGTCGACCGTGTTGGAGCCAAAGGTCGGCCGGGTGACGTGGGGAGGCGAAGTGGCGCCGAAGTCGGGGCAGCCGGGGCCCGAGAGCGCCGTGATGTTGAAGTTCCAGCTCCATGGGAGGATGCGAAGGGCCGAGGTGTCCCTGGGAGTGAGGTTGGGTAGGGCAAAGGCGGTGCCCACGAGGGCTGTGAGGATCTGGAGACGAGATGGCATGGTGCCGTTGTGCTGGGTTTGTATCTGAAAACAAGGGGCTCGTTGGGACGAAGTGGAGGAAGCTGGAGACGCTGAAGACGTGGACTCAGAGTTAAGGTGTCAACGAGCGAGGCTATATGGATGGATGTCGATCGGTCATCGGAGATCGGGGATAGTCAATCGATCGGGGATAGTTGATGTGGACATCTTGGGCGTCTGCATACTAATCTACGTTGAACCTCGATCCTCTGTCAACCTTAATTAAAGTGGCACTCCTGGTTGCTACAAGTTAGAGATGTGGATCGAGGTCCGAGCCTGTACCCCGCGTGTAAATCATAACTCTTCTGGCAGGATCCGGAGCACCAAGGGCCGAACTATGAATAGGATTGGTCACTTTTATCCAAACGTGGTGCCCAACTGTAACGCAACGGCGCAGAAGTGAGGTCGTTTGTTGCTGCCTGCTAGACATAGTGAAGTGTCACACTCCTTGGCAATATCTGGATATCTACGTCCCGTCTCGTCTAGTATTTGCCTGCGGTCAACGTTGCATCTGAAAGGGCTTGGACTCGACGTTCGAAATCCCGAGTCCGAGATCTCGGACTTAACATTCACATGACCGAGTACGTTCCTTCGAGAATAAAGAGTAGAAGGCACAAAATGGAAGCGTTTTGCCGTTTGTGATGTGGGATTAGTTCGGATGAGACCGCCGGAGCCGCGCAGGCGATTGTTCGAACCCTGCCTGGGCAGTTGGCGGGTTGGTTCAGGGGTTACCCCTATCTTTCTTCCTGCGTTTGGCAACTCTTTTAGTGACGAAATGCCCTCTGTGTTGTTTCTTCCAGAACCCGGCTTCTCAAAGAGTTTAGAGCAGACAATCCATGTATCAGGACCGTCCTTCTACTGGGTCACGGTGTCAAAGTGCCCAAAGCTTTTGCCTGCGGCTTGCTGAGACGTTGGCGGTGACGTGAGCTGCACTTTGTCGAGCGAGCTCGGTCGGATAATGCACGTGGGTACGCAGTGCTCCTTCAGGGCTCAAAAAGTTTACCTTACTACTGGCACTCCACAATGTTTGGCTGCGTCCATCACTGATCAGATGTTCTACGAAGAGGCATGGCGCTGGGCATGGTCAGAATGTTGGAGTAAATGGGAGCGGAGTCGACGAGCTTCACAGTTCAGATATCAGCAACGACACGAGCTTACAGAGCCGGTAACGCGCCGGTGACGGCAGACCGTCCAACCAGAGCGGTTAGTTGTTTGGCTGTTGACTTATCATACGATGCGCTCAGTTCCCAGTTGCGCGACCAATTGTTAAGCGGAGACGAGCACGAGTCCTTACAGTGGGACGCCGCCACTGCAACAGAAGCGCCTATTTGCCTTGTATCCAATAGACCTTACCCAGACAACGCTGTCTTCCCCAGATCTCCCGCCGGGCTTCTATCTTGGTGGCGACTGCGCCTCTCGGCTCTCGAAGACAAATAGGACAGTCCGGCCGTCCAAACAACCAAGGCAATCGACGTGGCGATCATGGCGTACATGCCCCTCTGTGTGCGAGTTAGTTACCCTGCGAAGTGCTTGCCTCAGCAAGGCGAGGGGATAAGGGGTGATTAGATGGAGCTGACTGACCTCGAACCACGGTGCCATGCTCGCCCCGTAAAACACAATACTCCACCAGGCATTCACAGCATTGCTCCCCAGATTCATCCCCGCGAGCACGACCGATCTGAACACCGGCTCCCTATACCTCATCGCGTCGTTTGCCCAAGCGAAGAAGGTCGCCTGGCATGCATAGACGGCACCCGCCCAATAATACGCGCCAAACACGACCGCTGTCGACTCTTGGACGTCCATCCCCTTGGCGGCGAGGATCATGGCGCTAGTGGCCACGCCCGTGATGCCGATAAAGTAGCCCACCAGATACCGTTTACCGCCCAGAAAGTCGGTGAGTGCTGCCCAGAAGAGAGTCGAGACGATGCCCACGGCAGGGACGCCGGTAGGGTAGTCGTTTAGCTGCTTGACGGTGTAGTGCGTCGACGGGGAACTCTTCATGTACAGCGCCAGCAGCGAGTTGGAGGAGAAGGATTCCGTCTCGCCGGCGATGATCCAGAGAATGACAAAGCCCCACCATTCCCAGGAAGTCAGGACCGCTCTGGCAAATGTCCACGTCAGTGGGGATTTGGCCGCCTCGTCCTTTTCAGAAGGCGGCGGCTCAGCGTCGCCATGCTCGGGGTGGTGTTCGATGAGGGGCTCGTGCGGTTTCAGTCGGGACACGGCCAGCTCGCGCTCGGTCGGACCTAGGTAGCAGGCTGTAGTGGTGGCGGGGGTGTCTGGGAACAAGAGAAAACCGTACAAAGCCACGGGCAAAGTGATGATGCCGTCAATGAGAAACAGCCAGCGCCAGCCGCGCAGGCCGTGGCGGTTGTCCAGGCTCGTGTAGATGCCGCTTTGGATGAAGCCGCCGATCATGGTGCCCGCCAACCCAGAGGCCGTAAAGATGCCACTGCGCTTGCCCAGCTCGCGCTCCGTATACCACGAGCCGAGGATGTAGTGCGTCCCCACAAAGGTGGTAGCCTCAGCGATGCCCTGGAAGAATCGTATGGCCATGATGGCTTGGGGCGAGTGTGTCGCTGCGGTCACCATGGTTAGTCCCGCCCAGATGACCATCATGGCCGGGAAGAAGTATCGTGGCTTGACATAGTGCAGGCTAAGATTGGAGGGGATCTGTCCGAGGACGTAGCTAGGGATATAGCTCAGCATGACCTCTGGCAAGGGGGCGAGTGACGGCTGGGGCTTACCCGACGGTAAAACAAGTGTTGATCACGTTCAGCTGGTTTCCTTGGAAGTTGAGGTCTTCTTTCATGCCCGAGACATATGCATTGGCGAGATTTGAGCGGTCAAGCTAGGCCGTGAGTCAGCGGTGGACGACGAAGTCGTGGTGCTGCCGATCTTCGAGCATCAATGAGACTGACGTAGTTGAGAAAGTAGCTGAGACAGCAAAAGCTCAAGATGAAGAAATCAATCTTGCGCACCAGTTTGCGCTCCGCAGGATCAGTCCGCCATGCTGAGGTGATGTAGTCACGCAGCGTGGGCGATAGCCCCGCCATGTCCCTGGTTGTAGGTACGTTCAGACGACTCGCATGGGCAAAATCAGGACTTGCCCACTTGCGGTTGGGTGGTTGCGCTGGGGAATCCGGAAGATTGTGGTCTTGAACTGCGAGACCGCCGGATTGAGGCTGTATGTATGATGTCTGGCGGGTGATAAGTATTGCACAAGGACCAGCCAGAACTGTTGAGTCAAGGCTTTACGATTGCGGTCGGCTGTTCAGCTTCAGGGTTCAGGCCGATGACGTCCATGCGAACCCGAGTCCAGAATCTGTCAACGGGGCCGGCCAACCATTGGCGGGGCCGCCCTTCCGGGCCAGGGGCGATCCGCTGCCGGCTGTTCTCCCGCTGTCCGAGGTTCGAGTGGGTCATTCGCCGCCCATGGAAAGCCGAATCGGGATCCCATCAGCACTAGTTGGCATAGACTTCATGTCAGCGGGCTGGAAAAGGCTTTATTTAGGGCTGCTATTCCTGGATTCGATTTGTTCAAGGCGGTTGAGTTCCAGTCTGCCCGTGCCTGTGGTTTGAAGAGTCCTGGCTGTTTCCAGAACGGTAAAGATCTTCCCCACTCCCCTACGTGCCCAAGATGGGGGATTCAGGGTCTTGCTTGGCCAGGGTCCACTGGGGAGAAAAAAAATTCACCATCTCCACTGCGATTGCTCTGACACGAAACCGAAAAAAATGGACGGTGAGAGGTCGTACCCGGAATCGAACCGGGGTTGCCGGAATGTTTCTGAGACAATCAGAATCCGGAGTGATAACCGCTACACTATACAACCGTCTGTATGTGTTTGTCGCGATCCCCGAGTTGTGCTTGTGTGGGACCTGACTTGCCCTGCCAGCCACCGACCTCAGCATTGACCTGCGACACCCATTTGCAAACTCAGCATGCCGCTGCAGCTTCTCCTGAGATTGCTGATAATAGATGATAGTTGCCGTCACTGCATTGGGTGCCAATCTGTGTTTGTCCTGTCCCGATGCAATGGTTGAACGAGAAGAGATTGTGGGTGAAAATTGGAAACGAGTTGGTCGGGAAGGTGTGGATGCTGAAATGCCATCAACTGTCAATCTACAGGGCAACAGCAACGGCAGACCCAGGGATGGAAGGCAGGCACGAGGCACCTCAAACCATCCAGGGCACAGTCATTCCCGTTTGTCCAAGTTTTTGTCGATGTGACTCCACCTAAACTCAGCCACAATTCTATCTCCTGTCCATTTCTCACCAGAACCGAGAGAAGCTGAATTGCATCCCATCCGTCCACTGATCAAATTACCACACACGATCTATATACACGCATTACTAAGTACATTATTTTTATTTCGCAGGAAACCTGCTACCGAATCCGATTCTCGCATCGACCTCGGAATCAAGCCGCGACCCTGCACAGCTTGCCAGTCTGCAGAGTGAGCCAGTCTTGCTGACCGGCGACCTTCCACCGCTCCGAGCCCACGGCGGTCGGCGCCCAGAAGACGTCGTTGGGGTCGACCTTGCGCTTGATCTGCAGCAGGCGGTCGTAGTTGGTGCCGTAGAAGGCCTCGGCAAAGTCGGGCTCCATGACGTCGCCCTCGTTGAGGTAGCCGCCGGGGCCGTAGACGCGCAGCCGGCCCATCCAGTTGTCGGTGATCTTGCGCTGCACCGCCTCGAGCTCCGTCTGCGAGATGCCGGGCGCCCAGGCGCTGCCCATGATGCCGAACCAGATGGCGTCGCGCCAGTGCGAGTTGGCGCCGCTGTCGGGCGTGCCCGCGGGCTGCGCCGGGTTCATGTTGTACTGGATCAGCGCCGAGCCCTCCTCGACGACGGACCGCACCTCGTCGAACATGGCCTCGCGCTTCGTGTCGTTGGCCCACACGTCGCGCGGGAACAGGCGCGAAGCCGTGCGCATGTTGGAGTTGGCTACCGCCTCGGTGGGGAAGTGCCGCGTCCACATGTCGTAGAAGTTGTCGTACTCAAAGTACTCGGGCTCAAACTCGAAGCCGATGCACTTCCACTCGTCAAAGAGAGGCTGGACCATGGCCTTGAAGTCGGCCAGCGCCATGCCGGGCACCATCCACGGGTGCATAGTCCAGGTGTAGCCGGCACCCGCCGGGCCGCGCGGGAAGATCATGGAGTAGCCGTACGTCTTGTTCTCGGCGTACTCGGGGAACTTACGCCAGTAGGCATACATGGCCTCCCAGAAGACGCTGTCCGGGTTGGCCGTGTCGTTGCCCGTGGTGATGGTCCATGTGAGACCCGAGAAGCTCATCTTGGGGTGCGCCTTGATCACCATGGACGTCACGACACCAAAGGTCGCGCCGCCACCGCCGCGGAGGGCAAAGAAGAGATCCTTGTTCTCCGTCTCGCTGGCCGTCACGTAGCGGCCGTTGGGCAGCACCACGTTGAGGCTGAGCACCTGGTCAGACCCGAGGCCGAACTTGGACGACAGGGGCGAGTGGCCGCCGCCAGCCGTGTACCCGCCGGAGACACCGACGCCCTTGCACTCGCCGCCAACGGCCGTCACGCCGTACTGCTTGGCTGCCGCGTACAGCTCGCCGACTTGCACACCGGCGCCGATCTCGAGCGCCGGGCCTGAGTAGGACGGCGTTTTGAACGACTTGCGGAACTCGATCGACTTGAGGTTGTGCGTCCAGATGGACAGGGCGCCGGAGCCGCACGACTTGCCGAGGAAGTCGTGGCCCGTGTTCTTGACGACCAGGCGCAGGCCCAGGTTGCGCGCAAAGTTGACGGCCAGCTGGATCTGGTAGACGCCGCGGGCCTTGACGGCGTACGACGGGAAGCCGCCCAGCGTGCACTGCGTGGTGTTGCCGTTTTGCGGCATGCATGTCTCGCCCTGGTAGAGCGGCGACATGACGGACGTCGGGTCGTTGGCGCTGATAATGTGAGCCCGTGGTCAAGATCCCCTCCGGGTAGAGGCAAGGAACTTACTGGGTGGCCGACTGGGTCCAGTTCTCAATGATGCTGGCGCACTTCTGGGCATCGTACACGCCACTGTTGGGGTAGCAGACGGCACCAATGGGGACCGTCTCGATGAGGGCACCGCCGGTCAGGAGGTCGAAGACGGCCCAGGTCAGGCGCGACGGCCACTTCCAGTCGCCCGGGTAGACCTTGCAGTCGCCAACGCGGGTGGTGCGCTTTGCGTTCTCAGAGACAGCTTCCGAATCATCGAACTGGAAAAGCTCGATGTCGCTCAGCTCGTGCGCCGTCAGGTTGGCCAGCACGGCGTCGGTCAGCTCGAGTGTACCGGCCTCGGCAGCGGGGGCGACGGTGACCTCGTTGGCGGCTGGAGGTACTGTCAGTCAACTGTCCTCCAAGTATCCAAATGGCATACCCGGTCAGACTTACGAAGCACTTCGCCATCGGCACCAGTGATAGTCTGGGCAAGGCCCAGGGGGAGCACAGCACCCGCGAGGAGCAGGGCGCGCTGCATTGAGAGGACAGCCATGACGATCGACAAGATCAACGAAGGACTTGTCGTAATGGTCCAAAGACTGAAGAGAAGGAGAGGGGAACCACGTTTTTGCCACGCGAAGGTCGCATGGTTATATGCAACCGTGAGATGCGGCTCTCCCTCCCCTCCGGAGCCCGGGTCGGTTGCACTTCCGAACAACCAATCATCCCCCGATGGTGCCGTGTGCCTTGCGTGTTTCCCACGTTGCACCCCTGCCCTGGAGCAAGAGGATCAATAATCTTGTTTTCTGTGGGGTATGACATGGGCGGAAGCATCGCCGGCGAGGTCTTCATTTCCCAATAAGGGCCTCTTTGGCGCGAGTTCTGTCAAGTGCGTTGGCTGTTTGGGGATGCTCATGATTCGCGGTCTCTTGCCGCAACCTCCACCGGGACCCCTTGATGTGATGTGGGGATAGTCGGGAACACAAGATGGCCCGATGCAGGGAGCTTCCTCTGAGAAATTGGGAGCTTTGTTGATGTCGCAGTGCCCACTCTGCCGGGCTTGGCAAATCAAAGACGGATCCTTCGGTTGCGGGGATGGTAGACCTCGGGGCAAGCAACCAGTCCGCTGTCGCGGTTTGGAAGTGGTCAGCAAAAGGGAGGATGAGGGGAAAAACGAAATCGGTCCCCGGCGGTGCATGGCTCTCCTGAGACAGAGATTGGTTCACTGAAGGCTGGCAGGAGTCTGTTGAGTTACACGGATACACAATCAACTCCGGTCGTGAGGGATGTGGTATCTCGGTGGTTTCAACTTTTTTTTTTTTTTTGGCCCCTGCTGTCCCGAGCCCGTTTGCTGAATTCCGAGACGCGCGGTTGGCGGCACTTATTCAAGCTAGCTTGTCCCAACTCATGCAGCTTCGTGCTTGGCACTGCTAGGACTTTGGGTCGGCAGTTGTTTTGGCTCTGATTACAAACGAAGACCCCTGAAACCGATTAACCCTCTCAGAAAGCTGTTTCCATGCAGTCACTACTGTACATTGTCGATGTCAACACATGCCATGTTCATACCTATGAAAACCTGAAAATACCCGCCAAAGTCGTCAGTAATGGAGTCCCTCCGCAGGCACAAAACTCAAGGCATCCTTACCGTCTCCATCCAGCTGTCAACGGCCATCCGTGCGTAACTCGGGATCTTGTCGGGAGGGAGTCGATCCATCTTAGCGCCAGGGCTCCACACTCCACAGCGCTTGTACGGGTTCCTGGTCAAAATTCCCCATTCCAGCCACCATCGTCTTTTCGTAAACCCGACGGGCCTCCAAGTTGCCGGGGTGGTACCAGGACCCCTTCCCGAGCCTCCCACATTTTATGCCAAGAACCCAGGACAACGCACGAGAGCGCTCGTGTTCCGCACGACCAATGCTGACTCTTCGATCTCGGATTTGGATCCGTGAACAGAGCTTAGGAGACTTGGCATTGGGGTCTTTATTGTCAACAAGGGAAAAGATCGACATCTTGTCTCAGGGGCAGCATGTGGAGTGAATCCTTCGGGCTGTTGAAGAATATCCAGGCTGCCAGGCTGCCAGGCTCTCTCCCCATGGGAACAGAGAAAAACCCTCAACGCTGTGGCCCACCACTTTCCTCCACCACGGGAAATCCGCATTCCTCCACCACGGCAAACCCGCCCTCTCCACCATTGCTCGAAAAGGTACGAGCATCATGTTTGCTGTCGAAAGGGAGGGAGGGGACCGTGGTCAACCATGGACGGCGTCGTTACTTGTTTAAATTGCCCGGTCTCGCACCGCCAATGACTGCTGTGATTTTCAGGAGAACACTCTGTGAGCTGCCGAGTCTCGGAGGTTCCAGCATTGTCATCAATGCACTGCCGGCCAGTGCTCCGATGCCACGATCCCGGGACGCCAAGACGCCGGATGCCATGCCAGGATCAAACAAGTGGATGGTGACAGGGAATGAGATTCCGGGGAGCCAGCAGCCGGCCGGTGTCTATCTGGGATCCCCAGTGATTCACTGCTTCCTCCCCTATCTTTGGATGTCAGCTTTTTGTTCTGGTGGTCTCTTGCCCATGCTCTGCGAGAGCGTGACAATGCGCAGCCTGTTCGGTTCTCCTTGTGCCCTCGCGCCGAGTCGAAGAAGCTTGTTGTTCGGCTATCCTGGAGGACTGGAGCCGATGTTGTAAAAGCCCCTTCCCCCCTCCCCCTCCGCTGCCGTCGATCGTGCTCTGGACATTGATATTTCTCCCCACACTCCTTGTCGATCAGACTTCGATGTCGAGCCTTCAGAAAGGAGGATCACTCGGTTTCCCAAAGACATGACAATGGTGATTGTGCCTCGCCGTCCCGCGCACGGGAACGTGCTCGACATCCCGACGCCGCCTCT